ATGTCATCCTATTATTTATTGAGGTATGATTATACAAATGGATTATTTTTAAATTATCATGTAAAGTATTGGCTCTCTATCACTATCACAGTCATTTTATTTTGATGGCAATTAAGTCACATAAGCCTCCACTGATTCCTCTTCGTGTCTGTGTCATCATCCTAACTGAATTACTGTCAGGGCATTGGGGGCATTTTCCTGTCATGCTGATTTGACCCATCTATCAAAAAGCTTCCTGCTAATGAGCTTGGATGTGATCTCATTATTATAATTCTGCCACCATTAAATAATAGTACACAGATGTCACAATATAAAGAAATGTTAGCATTAAGCATCTGATAGCACAGCCAGTTCCTGATTACGTTTTTTTGGCAGTGCTGAGCTCTTGGTCTGAGTCAAATATTTAAAATAAGTCCTTCAAGAAAGTCCTGGAACATAAACGTGGAATACAGAAAGATTTAAAAAACTGTGCACAGGCAGGAAAACAAGTCAATCAGTAAATGTCCCCCAAGAACTAATATTGCGATAAGTGACAGCTAAATAATTAATATTAATAATAATATTATACAGGATTTATATTGCACCGACTATTTGTGCAGCATTTTACAAAATAAAGCGATAGTACAGTTAAGATACAATCCATTACAATAGGATTAGGAGGGCCCTGCTTGTGATTGGCTCAGAGTACAGCTTTTAGGTGGAGTCAGGATAGGCTTTCCTGAAGAAATGGAATTTCAGGGAATGCTTTAAAGTGGTATTAACCTCCTTGGCGGTATTCCCGAGTGTAGCTCGGGGTTAACTTTCAGTACCAAAAGCGGTAACCCCGAGCTACACTCGGGAATACCCTGCAGCATTGCTCAGAGATTCCCTCTTGCACTTACCTTGTCCTTCACTCCCGTGATGTCCCCCCTGCAGCATCCCCGGCCATCCGGCATCCGTCTTTCGGGTTCTGTTCCCTGCGAGCGTCAGGACATACACATACAGAAATGCAGCTAGAAGTTTAACTCATCATATAGTCATCGTTGAAGCAGTAGAGGGATCAGTCAACCATGTGGACCACACCTTGTCGGACTTCTTAGGGCAGCCTCCATTTGTATATGTGTCCTTTTAGAGTGGTAAGCTGTTATTGACCACTTGTTTCCAAAACAAAATCAATGGTAGGTGTGTCCATTCACACATGGAGGGCAGCTCGGCTCCACCCCCCACTCTCTTCATTGGCCCACTGGCTGTGATTGACAGTAGTGGGAGACAATGGCTCCTGCTGCTGTCTCAGCCAATGAGGAGGAAGACAATCAGAAGAGTCCCTGCTCTCGAGCACATCGCTGGATTAGGATGGGGCTGGGGGGGAAATGCCCACAGAAGGTTTTTTACCTTCAAGCATTCAATGCATGAAGATAAAAAAACCTTGAGCTTGTACAACCACTTTAAGTGGTCCTACATATGCTGTATATATGTGTGTGTGTGTGTGTGTGTATATATATATATATATATATATATATATATATATATGTGTGTGGTTCATATATATATGTTGGTTCACCTAACCTAGTGCTAGTAAGGCTTAGTTGGCTGTAGATACCACTCTTTAACCTCCTAAATCTTGAAGGTCTTGCTTAACTGCTATAAATGTTGACCATTTAAAACAGAATATTGGCCTCCATATATTTATACAGTCAGCTGTGCTAAATCAATACAATAAAAAGAAATTGAACCTAACACTTTTAATTGCTGGAGCACTGAACATCATAGCTGTACTATACATTAAAAGATATGCAAGAAATGAATGGTCATGATGTATTGTCTTTAATTGTTACATAGGCTATAATATATAAAGTAATTTTAATACATGTCTAATGTTCCTATATTACTTTCTCATATCTAAAGGCAGATGCCATCTATATCATGCACAGGAAATAAAATCCTTTTAATGTGGATTTCCAGCTCACATCTAACTAGTCATAAAACAGTTCATTTTCAATGAATCCCTAAAGCCTTTAGTTCCCTGTCTGGGATTCTAGGACCTTGTCAGTCACTTTATGTACACATTTGTTAAGGACTGAGATTCCTATGGTATAGTTTGTCTAAAATACTGCTAAATCTTCTTAAAGAGGAGCTCCAGTCATTTTTGCAAAAAAATGTAGCTGCTGACTTTTAATAAACACACACTTACCTGTCCTAGCGATGTGCTGTTCCTTCTATCCCTCTTCTCTCCCTGGTGCCGGCATCTCAACTGTGGGCACCCGGCTGTGACAGCTTGTGGCTTCAAAGCTGGGTGCCCACTGCACATGCACGAGTTGTGCTGCACCTCTTGAATGGTCTTGTAGTGTTGTGGGACCTGTGACATGTCCAGAAGACTGCAGGGAGGGAGGGGGAGAGGAGAACTTCCACTCAGGTCAGCTTGGCAATCAGAGCAAAAGTGGGAGCAGGTTCCTGTCAAAACTAGGTACCCACTCCCCCCAAAAAAAATTTAATGCTAAAATGTGGGAGTGGAGCAGTACTTTTTGGGAGGAGCTCCATTTTAACCTTCAGCTCTGACAATATTCCCTACGGATGTGCACAATGTTTTAAACATTTTTTCTATGGACCTGTTTATTCAGCAAAAACCTTGTCATGACGTAAGGTAACAAAGTAATGTTGTATTAAACAAGGATTCTTCAGCGATTTTGTCTTTCGAAAATGAGTATATTTTTATGCAATCCTTAGAAAAAAATGCAAACAATGCACATCTTTCTAATTTCATCAGTATTTTAAAAAAATAGCGTTACTATATTTAAAATTTATTTAAATTATGTTTGTGCTTTTTCACTAAAACAATTAAACAAATTGACAAAATAAATATTAATGATTAGAAAAAATCAGCAGGAAAGTAATAGCTAAGAGTAGAAGAGGAAAAAGCAGTTAATTGGAGTTGATCAGAATAAATTAGGGTAAAGCAAAGTTTGCTTTTAACCTCTTCCCTACCTCGCTATAGCCAAAAGAAGGCTACAGCGCGCTTGTCTAGTTCTGGGACGACGTCCATGGATGTCATTCCATAACACGCCCCCTGTGTGCCCCCAGCGGTGCGCATCTAGCACTGCCAGTGATTGCTGTGTCCTATAGACACAGCTGATCACGTGATATGTAAAATAAAAATTTGAGTTACAGATGCACTTTAACTGGCATATGCAGATGGAAGAGTCCGAATTTTGATCCATCTATGATTAGCTTTAACAAAGTGAATGAGTTTGGGTTAGTGAATGAGGTGAAGCACTGATGATCTCCACCATCCAGTTATGTGCAAACAAATACAATGTTTTTTCCTTGCTTGTGATGATTGGGTATCCTTTACAAAGTAAATTTTTACTAAATTTACTAAGCTAAATAAAAATTTCCTTGCAAAGTGAAAATTCACTTTCCAAATTGAACATGCTCTACCCAATACTCCATTGTATTTCTCTTGGCTGAAAATAATGTTTATGATTGTTCGGTTCTGTAATTATTGTTTGCACTACACTTTCCGGTTATTTCTTGGCTCAAAAAGCAAATCATTAAATAATATACTGTGTAATTAAAAAAATCTACAGTAGCATGCTAAATTTAAATAATAATAATACGGTAATAATAATAATAATGTTGGTCAAAACAGCTCATCAGTTTTTAGTTAAGAATCAGCAAGCTGGCAAGAGACATTTACCGTAACAAGATAAAAGTGTACATTTGTATGCATAGACTAAGCCCCCAGATTTATGCAAAACTATTCACTGCACACTTGTGACTTTTTAGTTTTAAAAATTACCTTAACTATAAAATAACAAAACTGCTGCCTTTTTCTTGAATTACAATGAACTGATCACAAATTGTACCCTTGTGTCTAAATATTAGTGCAGCCCACTGGGCACCATAGCTCTGTGTTCCAATCTTAAGTATTCAGTCGGCTCAGAATGTTCAGAAGTAAAAGTTAAAATCAAATCTAAGCTGTGATGTACTGCTTGGTTACAAATGAGTAATTCATAACTTTATGCCGGTAGCCGAAGCCAATACTCTGTGATAACTTTGAAAGTGCTGTATATTTTTTGGAGAGTGTGTAACAGAATTTTCATACTTCATCATGGAGCTAGATAGTAAAATGCAACAGATCTTCTGTCCTACAGCACTGTTTTGATTAACAGATAAATCATGTCATGAGCAGGGATTCTCTTGATGATATCCTTGTACTTTGAAACTGATCCCAGTCCTTGGATGTGTTACAGATTCATTGCTATCCTGAGAATTGAAACCTACACACCATCCAATACCAAATGACTGAATTTAAAGCATGGGGCTCTCAGAATATGATTTAAACCAGCAAATAAAAGCCCTGTTCTTTATTGTAACACTGCACCATCTCAACAGTATAGATGATATTTTTTTAACATTTAAAGCTTGTATATACAGAGATAGTGTAAAAGCAAAAAAGTCAGTTTTAATACAGTCAGAATAAATATTCTGTGAGCTAAGAAACATCTTAAATAAAGAAAAGATCAAAGCATAATTTAAAGAAAAAACTTAAAATATGAAAATAAGTAAGGAAAGCCAGATAAGAAACATCTGAAATAAATAAAAGATCTAAGCATAATTTAACCACCTTCTGCCTGCCCTATAGTACAATGACTGGCGCAAGGTGGTTCTCTCGTTCTGATAGGACGTCATATGACGTCCTACCATTCTCACTGCGCATGCGCGGCTCAGGGAGCCGATCGCCGGTGCGCTGTGTCCCTCAGACACAGCGGATCACGGAAAGAGCCAAAGATGTCAGCTCGGTCATGTGATCAGCCGTGTTCAATCACAGCTGATCACATGTAAACACGGAAATGCCGGTTATCGGCATTTCTCTCCTCTCGAGCTGTCACGCTGACAGCTAGAGAGGGGAGGAGAGCCAGGTAATCGGCTTTCCACGGAGGGGACATGTACACTGATCATCAGGGCACAGATGATCAGTGTACCCTGATGATCAGTGGGGGCCCAGAAGTGCCACCTGTCAGTGCTCATCAGTGCCACGTGACAGTGCCAATCAGTGCCATGTGCCAGTGCCCATCAGTGCCACATCAATGCCACATATCAGTGCATACCAGTGCACATCAATGCCATATATCAGTGCCCATCTGAGTTGCCTTTCAATGTCACCCATCAGTGCCAGTCAGTGCCACCTATCAATGCCAATCAGTGCCACCTATCAGTGCTGTCAATCAGTGCCACCTATCAGTGCCAGTCAGTGTCGCCTATCAGTGCGCATCAGTGCGCATCAGTGCCGCCTATCAGTGCCAGTCAGTGCCGCCTATCAGTGCCAGTCAGTGCTGCCTATCAGTGCCATATATCAGTGTCATGTATCAGTGTCATGTATCAGTGCTGCCTTTCAGTGCCCATCAGTGATGCCTGTCAATGCCCATCAGTGCAACCTACCAGTGCCTCCTCATCAGTGCCCATCAGTGCCACCTATCAGTGTCCATCAGTGCAGCCTATCAGTGCCCATCACTGCAGCCTCATTAGCACACATCAGTGAAGGAGAAAAATCACTTATTTACAAAATTGTATAACAAAAACTAAGAAAAAACATATTTTTTTTCAAAATTTTAAGTGGTTTTTGGTTTGTTTAAGAAAAACTAAAAATCCCAGAGGTGATTAAATACCACCAAAAGAAAGCTCTATCTGTCTCAAAAAAATGATAAAAATTTCATATGGGTACAGTGTTGCATGACCGTGCAATTGTCATTCAATATGTGACAGCGCTGAAAGCTGGAAATTGGCCTGGGCAGGAAGGGGGTATAAGTGCCCTGTAGGCTAGTGGTTAAAGAGAAAAACTTTTAACAACTATGAAAGTAAGACAAACCATAATTTAGACCAGCCTTTCTCAACCGGGGTGCTTAGGCACCCCAGGGTGCTGCCAGAGGTCTTCAGGGGTGCCGTGGGGAGAATGGTCACTTGAGCTCAATCTCCCGATCCCCAGCCACACTGTATGTTGGCACTGAGAGCCGTCACACAGCTCAGCAAAGTGAAAGCAAAGGGAAGGGGAATGTCTTCTGTGCTCTGTGCCTCCCCATAGATTGCAGTACCCGGCTGTGTGATGGAAGTTATAAGGTACTGTAACTTTTCTTAATGATGTATACATGTGCCTGTGTGTGTGTGTATGTGTACATGTATGTGTGTACGTGTGTGTGTGTACATGTGTATGTGTGTGTACGTGTGTGTGTACATGTGTATGTGTGTACCTGTGTGTGTATGTGTACATGTGTGTATATCTGTGTGTGTGTACATGTGTAAGTGTGTGTGTACGGGTGTGTGTGTACATGTGTAAGTGTGTGTGTACATGTGTGTGTGTGTGTACGTACATGTGTGTGTGTGTGTACGTACACATGTATGTCTGTGTGTGTACATGTGTTTGTATGTGTGTGTTTTATATGTGTGTATATGTATATTACCTTTAATCTTGACCCCCTATTCCTGTCCTTTCAGAACTGCTTTTTTAGGACTTCTTCGTAATAGCAGCAAGGACAGATATGTCATTTTAACATATATTTTTACATATAGTTGTAAATGAATTCCAAAAGTGTAGATTTGTATTTTTAAAGACATACGGTATGTTTGAAATGTATTTTTAAAAATATTTTTCATATATTTTGTAATAAAAACGCATTTCAACATGCAATATATATATATATATTTTTTTTTTTAATTGAAATATATTGAATATGGCCAAAATTACAGCACTTCAAATATGTCAATATATTTGGGAAGAATATTTTTAAAACACATTTCAAATATATTTTTCTTCCAATTGGGTAAAGGCTGTGCCTTTGTGTTCTGACATGTGGACTGCCCCCCACCAAAAATCATTGATCAGTGCTCATAGCCACTGGCTGCCAGCACTGATCGGATGCTGGTCGGATGCTGGCTTTCCATGCCCGATCAACAGAAGCCAATAACAAGACCAACTTCTGTAGAATGAACAGCTGCCAACCTTCTTGATTTCAGACGATTTTTGGCCCATGTGTACAAGGCTTTAGGGTGACTAAACTCATTCCTCCTATGGACCTAGGATAGCAGCATTTTCTGCTTGTAAAGAGATGAATAGACAGACTGTTGATGAATGTGAAGCTGTAGAATAGATAAGGTAGAAGATTAAGATTGATGTTACACAAGGAACTAACAAATAAATAAAAAAAAAATGTTTTGTTTCAATGCTTTATTTGCTACTTTTGCTGGACAGATTGATCTGGAAAATAATGTTGAAAATAACAGACCTACTGGCAGGATTGCCAGGTATAAAACTATGTTATGGGGGGACTCTGAAAAACAAAGACTACCATATTATTTTACTGAAAAACTGCATCATATATGTAATTTTATATTTTGCCTATAGATCCATTTTAACCACTTGCCCTCTAGAGCATTTACCCCCCTTCCTTACTAGGCCTTTTTTTTGCGAAACAGTGATGCATTATTGTAACTGACAATTGCACGGTCATGCAATGCTGCACCCAAATTAAATCTATGTCCTTTTTTTCCCGCAAATAGAGCTTTCTTGGTGGTATTTGATCACCACTGTGTTTTTCATTTTTTTACACTATAAACAAAAAAAGCGACAATATTGAAAAAAAACCAATATTTTTGACTTTTTGCTATTAAACATATCCAGTAAAAACATAATTTTAGGCTAAAATATATTCTGCTACATGTCTTTGCTAGAAAAACTCCCATTACTTGTAAATTAATTGGTTTACGTGAAAGTTTTAGCATCTACAAATGGCAGTATATACTGTATACTGGGATTTTTAAAACACATTTTTTATACTAGAAATGGCGGCGATCAGCATCTTATATAGAGGGACTGTGGGATTGCAGGACTGCGGGGGGCATTCTGACACTCGGGGGGAACTGACTAACTGCCACTGACATTCCCAATGACACTAATACAGTGATCAGTGCTAATAAAAAGCACTGGGCAGGAAGGGGTTAACATCTGGGGCGATCAAAGGGTTAATTGTGGGCTGTGTGTGTTTCACATTACGTGCTGCATGCTGTTTTACTAGGGAAACCTGCTGCTTTGTATTGCTCTGCTATGCAGATACAAAGCAGCATGCTGGTGCTGACAGTAGAGATTTGCATTGTTTACATACAGACCTCTCCCCTGTCAGTGTTCCTCAGAGATCGCAGGGTACCGGTGGGGAATCTCTGTCCAGGACCTGGTGATTGACAGCTGTATACACCCCCTACCCGGAAATACAAATCACGTATTTATACATGATTTTCAACAGACCTGCCACCCTGTAGCAGTAGTTTTGCTATAGGGCGAGTGGGAAGCAGTTAAAACAGGTGTAAAAGACAACACTGCATGCTAACCACATTGGGAGATGTTTATCAACCAGGGGCGGAATGACAACTCATGGGGCCCCCGGGCAATAAGGGATCATGGGACTCCTGTGTCCTTGCCCACACCCAAAAAAGCCTATGAAAAAGCCAATGAAAGGTACCAGGGGCATCTCATGGGGCCCCCTACTGACCCCGGGCCCTCGGGCAGTGCCTGAGAGCTCGAATGGTCAGTCCGCCCCTGCTATCAACTTTTCCCCATCTGCAAAGCATTGAAAAAAAGCAGTGACATTTTGTAAAGGAAGAGTTTTCAAGATCACAGTTTGATTTATAAATTCCCTGCTGCTTAATAATATCACTGAACCAGTAAACCTACCCGTACTACTTCTTAGTTGTGCATGTATTTTTAGTGCAAATGATTGAAAGTACAACTAAAGATCAGGTACAAATATTCTAAAACTGTCAATGACCGCAGGCTTAAGGATCAAAAACACAAAACCATTTGAAGACGTTTGGCAAATAAATAAAAAAATATTCACTAGTTACTTGATTCTGCCTGTATTTCTTACTTGATACATTTTATTCCATTTTATTTTAAATTTATCATTATATACAATGCATATGTTGCCTGTTGGAGTGAACATACATGTTAGGGATAGTGTGCATAGTAATGCAAATTTACATAAATACACAGGACAGTACGTTAATATATTTTAGCTTTTCAGTCCTTATATGCATTAGTTTTCTTTTTGGGGGCTTTATTTTCACGTGGTAATGTTGCCTGTAACATACTTTCTGTCCCAGGGTAACAACCATTACTCAAGATATAGTGCAGATAATATGGTAGCTGCTAGCACAAAAGACAAGGTAACAAACCCACAGTAAACAATTCAAATGTAAGTGCAGTGCTAAAGCATAAGTGACAAATGCAATCATAGAGTGCTTATGTGAATAGAAGTGTTCATAAAATAAAAACGCCGTAGATCATATAAAATCATAGAATCATAAAAAAATCTGAACATAAATAGTGAATGTAAATAGTCCGTGGCACTTCAGGTCACAGAAGTGCCAAGTGATACGTGTGTGCTTTTTAGCAGTATTAGTGATTATTCATAATCAATGGCACTACAGGTCACAGCAATGCCCGGTGATCGTGGAACAACAAGGTGCAGCAATACCATCTGGGATGCTCGAGAGTGCTCATGATTCAACATGGGAATCCACCACCTTATATGCATGTGCACTCACCAGAACGTTACTTGTTGATCCTTATGGGGGGTCTCAGGAAGCCATAAATAGGGACCGGACTTCTCCAGGGTCAGGGCTATGCAAAACCAGCAAGGGCTCCTCCTAGGGCAAGAAGCAAGATGGCGGCCGCTCTGAACTCTGGCAGCGGTGGCATGACGTCAGCACATAAGGCTCACCATTAACAACCATTACTCTCTGTAATGTATCTATGAAGGAGCAATATTGTCACCCTAGGACAGAACACCTACCACTTCATAACATAGAAGAGAGGTGTTCTTTAGTCCACAAAAACTGATAGTAGAGACCGGTAGCAGAAGTAGTAGTAACCAGCTCACAAGATCCCTGGCAGGATCAGCAGGTAAATTGTACACAGTGCTGAGGATCAGGCCATTCAGGAATGCAGAGCAAAAGATCAGTAAATATGTCTTATGTTTACCAATCCTTTCACTTTCCTGAATTAACACTAGAGTGATCAGTGCTATAAACTCCAGTGTTCATTCACAACTGAAGAGGATGGATTGCTAAATGAATGAATGGCATTGTTTACTATCTCTTCCATTTTTTATGAATAAATGTGCTGACTATTCATCACTTCCATGTTCAACAGTAAGTGCCAGGCAGCAGGGGAGAAGAATATTGAGAACTCTGTGTCCTTGTTCTCTTTCTCTATTTCAAAGGGGAAGTCCAAGGGTCTTTTCAGACCCCTGAAACATAAAGCCTCTGCTGGTAAAAATAAATAAACATAAAATAAACAAAAATAATCAGAAATAAAACAACCCCCTACAAATTAGACACACTAGTGTTCATTCACATGGGCACAGAGTGTGATGAACATCATCAGAATGCATAGTTGTGGTGCCCAACTCCAGATTGCAGCATTACTTTAGCATTACTTCTTTACAGTTTGTGAGCCATTTAATTTTAACAATTTCACAAAAGGGCACAATATTTGTTATTTAATAACTCAATACAGCTTTATCCTTTGGATTAAAGTTTCATTCGCATGAAGCCTATGAATCTACAGCCAGTGTGAGGGCTGTGTTTACCTGCCAGTATTCTGTGCATCCCCATGCAGGCAGTCTCATTGCTGTCAGTTGGGTCACATCAGCACTCCCTCTATCCTATAGCAGATATACTGTTACAGGGCGGCAGGGGTGCACAAAATCACGTATATATACGTGATATTGCAGTTCCAGGTAGGGGGTGCACACGAGCCGTGCACGCGTCCTACCCCCGCTGCAGTTCGTGGCCTCGGCTGTCAATCACCAGGTCCTGGGCGGTGATTATTCGCCGGCACCCGGTGATTGCAGAGCATTACCAATGGAGTGAGAGAACAATACAGTTCTCTCCCCTGTCAGCTCCTGCACACTGCTTAGCAGAGCCATACAAAGCAGTGTGCTTACAGCTGAAAGCACTAACACAGCCCACAGTAAAACAGCCCACAGTTAACCCTTTGATCACCCCACATGTTAACCCCTTCCTGCCCAGTGCCATTAGTAGAGTGTCAATGCTTTTTATTAGCACTGATCACTGTATTGGTGTCACTGGAGATGTCAGTGACACTAAGTCGGTTCCCCCCAGTGTCAGAATCTAGAGTCCCGCTTTAATTCACTGATCGCTGCCATTACTAGTACAAAAAAAAATCCCAATATATATTCCACCATTTGTAAACGCTATAACTTTCACGTAAACCAATTCATTTACAAGTATTGGGATTTTTTTTTTAGTCAAAGACGTAGCAGAATATATTTTGGCCTAAATTTATGATGAAATTTTATTTTTTATATTTTTTACTGGACATGTTTGATAGCAAAAAGTCAAAAATATAGTTTTTTTGTTGTCGGTCTTTTTTTTTTGTATAGCGCAAAAAATTAAAACACACAGGTGATCAAATACCACCAAAAGAAAGCTATATTTGTGAGGAAAAAAAAGGACATAAATTTCATTTGGATGAAGAGTTGCATGACCGCGCAATTGTCAAAGTAACACAGCGCCGCAACACAAAAAAACTGGCCTTGTCAGGAAGGGGGGTAAATTCTTAGGAGGGCAAGTGGTTAATGCAAGTGAGGGTGCAGGGCCCTCACTTTTGGTGTTTGTGCATCCTGTGCATCCCAATTGAGAGCAATTAGACTGCCTGCATGGGGATGCAAGGAACAGCTGTGCATCCCCGTGCAGGTAAACATGGCCCTCACACTGGTGCAAATTCATACATCTCATGTGAACAAGGCCAAATGGGAATGTTTTAAGTCATTCTATGTTTGTGTGATCTTATAATGATTTTAGTGCATTTTTATAGAAATATTGTTTTGAAAAACATTTGTGCAACTATTACAGGATGTGCTAATTTAGCAGCACCATCTTTTTATCCTACAAATCCTGTGGTTTAGGGGGTATTTTAAAAACCGGTAAATCTGTAAGTAAAAAAAAATTACGAAATATGATAAAAAAGTGAAAATTAGTAAAAAACAGTCAGGCCACCTGAGGTTAAAAGTGGAGAACAAAGGCAGGCTGCAAAAGGGTTAAAGTTTAAAGAACCAACGACATGGAATATGTCTCTGGCAGCTGTCTTGTAACGTGTACCTCTTGAAAACTGACAGCTGTGCTTCTTTTTCTGTTTCTGCTTACAGCTTTAATATGACTGTCTTTTATCTTACCCCAATCCAATCTGCAGCTTTGTAGCTCATTTTAAAATAAATCTTTCGGCTTTAACTCAGTGATGCTGTTCATAGAATTACACCATAAGCCAGGATGTGCAGGAGATTTACTAACCCATTGCTTACACCTAAATCATTGAAGCATGATGCACTCACATATTACATAGCAAATGTGGTAGGGGATAAATAGGCCAAGAATTGCTTGTAGCTAAGTAAAAAAAAAAAAACATATCTGTAAGGAACAAAAATTTATATTCTAACACTGTGAAGAATTAAACACTTTAAAACATGTCTCTTTACATATTTGTTAAGCTAAAGTCCCCTGCAAGGCAAAACTTAGCAAGCTAATTTATAGAAATAAAGTGTGTCAGTCCAGAAAATTGAGGTTACATTTTTGCATTGTTATCCAAACTTTCAGGCTATTGATAGTTGAATACACTGAAAGCTAAATTCCAGGCAGATATAAAAGGAACACTTTGTGCAGTTCCACATTTATTAATACATTGTTAAAAGTATTGTCTTAAATGCAATCAGTAAATTTGACTTTTATTAACTTCTTGTAATCTGCTGTGTAGCAGAGCTCAGAGATGGGGGGGGGGGGGCAGCACAAGGAGCCAGTGCAGTTTAATACAGTGCAAGAAGCAAGGAGACAAAAGTAGTGTGACATCCAGCTGAGCTCACAGTGTGTTGTTTCTCTTTTCACTGTACAGTCACTTGGTAGGGGTGGAAAAGAGGCTTGTAAGTGAAAGTGGAACTGCCGCAGAGAAAGATCAGGTTCCCTCCCCTGCTAAATAGTGCTGTGCTTTGTGGCAGAACTTTGTACATCTCATGACTAAGAAGGCAGAAATAGAAACATCCACCATGGTTGTATTTTATTGGTGTATTTAGCTGTCTGGTTGAAGTTCAGCTTTAAGTCAGGAATAAATAGTCATAATAATACGAAAAGAGCAATGGGAAAATTTTAGGAACTTTAAAATCCAAAGGGTTTATGTTTTTAATAAACTTCCTACATTAGTTCTCGCCTTGACTATTGTAACTCCCTCCTCACTGGCCTACCTTATCGCAGGCTATTCCCTCTGCAGTCTATCATTAATGCTGCTGCCAGACTCATCCACACTACTAACCGTTCGTATCTGCCACCCCTCTCTGCCAATCCCTCTACTGGCTTCCCATTGCCCAATGGATAAAATTCAAAACGTTAATAATAACACATAAAGCCATTTATAACTCTGCCCCAAATTACATCACCAATCTTGTCTCCAAATATCACCCAAACCGTACTCTCTGCTCCTCGCATGACCTCCTACTCTCTAGCTCCCTTGTCTCCTCCTCCCATGCCTATCTCCAGGACTTCACCAGAGCTTCCCCCATCCTCTGGAATTCTCTACCCCAATTTATCAGACTATTGCCGACTCTGCTCACTTTTAGGTGATCTCTGAAAACCTATCTCTTCAGAGAAGCCTATCCTGCCCTCATCTAACAATGGAATCTTCTATTCCTCCTATCAGTTCATTCCCCACAGTTATTACCTTTTGTACCACTAACCCCTCCCTCTTAGATTGTAAGCTCCAAGGAGCAGGGCCCTCCTAACCCTTTTGTATTGAACTGTATCGTTGCTGTTTTGTCTCCCTTTATATTGTAAAGCGCTAAATAAACTGTTTGAGCTATATAAATCCTGCATAATAATAATAGTTAAAAAGCAATTCCTTGCTATTAAATGTTGTATTTCACATATCACCATTGGACTTTCCATGTCTTGATTAAATAGGCCCTGTTCAGTACTATTGAGACCAGAGTGAATAAATGTATAGCAGAATTGGCTGTTTCCAAATTATGGATCCAGTTGGTTAGGGTTGTAAAATTGAGCTAGGCTTTAGCAATAAGCTTGAAATTCCAAGAATTTAATATATGGCTGCTGCATTCTATATGCATACATTTCACTGGGGCTCTTAAGCAGCATAATTACAGTATATTGATAATAAAATTATATAAAAGTATTGCGCTAACATACAGTTTTTCACCTTGCTTCATCCATAAAAATATGATCATCTTGGCTTTACACAATTTTTAGACTTCTTAGAATAATGTATGGATGGCTAATAAAAGCTAAGAAATTATATTGTAGCGAAGGTATTTTGGTTTGATTTGTTTTTTAAATTACTAACCTATGTAACATTTGTTTGACCTCTTTACTTTAAATTAGTTGTAATGTAATAACATGTGTGCACCATAAACATGAAAAATATGTTTGTAGTAACCATTTTTTTATGTAATATTCAAGTCTGCACTAGAATAATGATTTCTGAAATCAGAATTGCTAGCACATATGCTACTTAATTTCATCAGTTTTTTTTATATATAAGTTTTTGTGGGACTCATGAATAAGTTGGAATTCTGATATCACTTCCTATGCATGACACTCATATATTTGTGGCAGAAGGCTTTCCTTAGCCCACTATTGCACAGCATGGAAGGTGACAGTACCCTATGTGTATAAGGATGTTAAACTGCCATAAATTGTGCATGTGCGTGAAATACTAGATGGCCTGCAGATATACTGTAGATATGAAAAGGTAGCCTAGTTTAACTATATGTGGACAGGAAGCCTGACTAGCACAATCTGGGTTGAAAGACGTGATGCTTTGTGTGTGTCGACCATAAAAACAGGGACAAATGGTGATACACACAACTAGACAGTCTATATCAATTAGGGAATAAAAGCAACCACTAAGCTGCTTCTATTTTCTAACCTGCATTAGAGCAATTATCGCTGAAATCTTATTAATTAGACTGAACAACTCTTCATTTTTTTTTAATTCCCTAGTCCTTTATTTCTCCTCGTGTATTTGTTAAATGTGTTTTATTTATTAGTTTTATCAATTCAACTTCTAGTCTTACCACATTTTCATTCTTAAAAGACCTGTTTGTAAGTTTAAGTGGGCTAGGAGTAAGAAAAACAAATTCCTCCATCCACACAAATGAAGTGGATAGAGGAATTATCCTTGCCCGAAAATTATATTCTGCCATCAGCATCCACCGCTGTCAAGATACACTAATCAGCAGCCTCAGACACTAATCAACTGAAAATTTTTCAACATGTCTCTTTGACAGAAGTTGAATCTTCTGTCAAGCAGGAGAGCTCACACACACTGTTCAAAATTTGACAAGTCCCTACTTAACTGGCCAAATTTGATCAGTGTATGGTCAGCTTTAGGCTTTGTGGTACCTTAACCACTTGCCTACCGGGCACTTATACCCCCTTCCTTACCAGGCCAATTTTCAGCTTTCTGCGCTGCCGCACTTTGATTGACAATTGCGCCGTCATGCAACATTGTACCCATATGAAATTTTGATCATTTTTTTCTCACAAATAGAGCTTTCTTTTGGTGGTATTTAATCGCCACTGGGCGCTTTACTTTTTGCGCTATAAATTTAAAAAAGTGCAAAAAATTTGAAAAAAAAAAAAAGTTTATTTGTTTCTTTTATAAAATTTTTCAAACAGGTATTTTTTCTTCTTCACTGATTTGCGTTGATGAGGAGGCACTGATGGGCACTGATAGGCGGCACTGATGGGCACTGATAGGCAGCACTAAAGGGCACTGATAGGCAGTACTAATGAGGTGGCACGGATAGGCGGCACTGATAGACAGCACTAATTAGGGGTCACGGATAGGCGGCACTGATATGCAGCACTGATAGGCGGCACTGATAGGTGACACTGATTATGGGTACTGATAGACGGCACTGACTGGCATCACTTCTGGGCACTGACTGGCGGCACTGACTGGCACAACCCCTGGGCACTGACTGGTGGCACTGACTGGCAGCACTGCTGGGCTGCACTGGTGGGCGGCACTGGTGGGCACCACTGGTGGGTGGGCACAGGTGGGTGGCACTGGTGGGCACAGGTGGGTGGCACTGGTGGGCACAGGTGGGTGGGCACAGGTGGGTGGCACTGCTGGCACATGTAGGTGGCACTTCTGGGCACCGATCATCAGGGCACTGATCATCAGTGCCCTGATGATCGGTGCCGATCCCCGCTCTGACAACTGCCGGTTCTCGGCAGTACTTTCCTCACGATCTGACAGCGTGAGGAAAGTGCAGCCGAGAACCGGCACTTGCATTTTCCTGTGATCAGCGTGTCATTGGACACCGCTGATCACGTGGTAAAAGGCCGGTGGGATCGGCCTTTCACCACATCTCGTGATCAGCTGTGTCCGTAGGACACAGCGATCACGGAGATCGCCGGGTGCGCGCCCCCTGGGGCGCGCAGGAGAGCGCGTTCTGGGAGGACGTCATATGACGTCCACCCAGAACTAGCCGGCCGCGGTGCAGCCGTCATTCGGCTATGCGCGGTCGGCAAGTGGTTAAAGAGCATGCGTCTACCCTACCTAGTGTTCTCTCCCACGAAAATCCACCATCAGATCCCAGTGTAAATCTAGGACTTCTGGGTATAGACCACACAAAGCACTCTGTGCTGCCTCCCCTAATTTACCACTTTAGTGATCAGTTAATTGAGAGTAATGTCCCATGGTCACAAAGAAGCTTGTCTTGAAGGTTTGTATCTGCAAAGAATTTTTATGGCTGTGGAGCAAGGAACATGGTATTGATAAAAAGCAGCCTTAAGCTGGCCATACACTAGTAGAATTTAATTTGAAAGTTTTAATTTGAAGAACATTCAATTGATTTTTTAATTATTAGTGGGGTCAAACTGTCATTCGTTTTCAAGTGCCGCGATGACAGCATTCAAAGGAGCAGGATTGAAATCTTTTCTTGAGCAACAAATTTCTAAAAGTGAATGTGGTTTTCATTCTGGAAAGCATATTCATTCCAAAATTGAATGTTGAAAGTACTTTTGAACAATATTCATCAAGTTATTGAATGTGGTGAGTATTTTTGTTCGAGTGTTCATTTGAATGTTTCGAAAATCCACTAGTTTATGGCAGCCTTAGGATTTCCTGCTACAAACCTAAGGCTGATTTAAGTAAACCTGTACAATACATGGTGTGAGATTTTAATGAACACTTTAGGAAGTAATTCTATGCAGCATTAATGCTCACTAACCTGTCCTATTAAACCTGTCACAAACTTGGAAAATTCAAACTGCACATATTATGTATAAAGGAGAAACATGTATGGGACTTTTAAGGTACCAAAAAGAGTCATAAATTGCATACAGTATGATAAAAATGGAAGCTTTTATTTAAACAATTATACAATAAATAATCAGGTAAATAAGCTATAAATAAAATATGCAGTACTGTTTCTATTAAATAAACTGTATGTGATCATATTAAAAATGAAATTAATGTCCAGAAATGTTCCACTCAGTGCACACAACATATGTATTAATATACATGTTTACATACAATGGATCAAAAATCATAAAACACAGTGCCAGTGAAACCTCTTTGTTCTCCTTTGTAAGCACAATCCTTCCAGTGAATACACACCACCGCAGTGTCAACAAAGAGTGCGTGCTAGAGGCAGAGGAGCCTCAAAATGTTGAGGGGTCAAATGCCCTCCTCCAGGCTTGGTCACAGTCTCCTCCACCTTTCACATATAACCATTTCTCCCAAGGATTGAAATATAGCAAAGAGGAACCAAAATACTTCACTAGTGTTTATCAGTTAAAATAACCTTATTATAAAAGATTAAAAACACTCATGTGCCAATGTACAGTACTACAGCAATAATCAGTATACAAATTCCAATTCCCAATCAGTAGTACAATATGTAGTGACCTTGGCCCATCTGGCTTTGCCCCCAACATAGTTGCTCTCTACTATTTCATAAATGATATACAAGTTGTATATGATTTATCAAATAGTGCGTAGAAATCTACATGTTGTTATCATGTTTGTGTAAGTACACATGATAAAACATGGCATTTGTACTTTTATAGGTATTGTCAATAATTATTTATAATTTTTTTTGTGGTGTATTTATTTTTTTTACCCATATTTACCCACCACTAACTACTAAAGAAGTTGGAAATCAGTGAAAAACTTGGAGGCGATTTACTAAAACTGGTGCTTATGCAATCTGGTGCAGCTTCTAACTTCAGCTTGTTCAATTAAGCTTTGACAATAACACCTAAAAGCTGATTGATTGTTATGTACAGCTGCACCAGATTCTGTGTGCTCCAATTTTAGTAAATTCCCCCAAGAGTCTTTTGCTCATCATGCTCCAGAAATGCTGCAAGTATGTTATAAATTGGATCCTTAGAAGGTCTTCTTATTATTTAGGCATGGTAAATACAGGCATGGTGGTGTAGTCCTTTCTTGTAATATTGGGTACTAGTATGCATTTTTTAGCAAAATTTCTTAATAAAAAATTACCATTATTTTATAATATTGTATGCACTTTATGTCTGTTTCTGGTACCTTAAAAGTCCTTTACTGTTTTCTCCTATATGTTATTTATACTTCTACCATTAGACACACTGAATAATCCCAGGTCCAAATACACTTTTTTGATTTGCACAAATTATGCTCAATTTAAATTGCCATGGCACCTACAGGAACTGCGTGTCAAAATAATCAGTAGATCTACTGGAACAGTACCTACAGTAAAGCGAAATCTTGGTTGTTTTTGTAAAAGTTGAGCTTGATTCCATCCTTTCCTGCCTCCCAAGCCTCAACAGCAGTCCATCACATTAAAGTGGAACTAAAGTCATTGATACCTATTCTCCAATGGTCTGATGCCCATGTGGTCACTTGCAGGCGTCTGCATATTCTTCCTAGCTTCTTCTAGTGCTGGTCTTTGGCCATCTAGATTGACCAGTGTGGGATAATGTCATCCATCCTGGCACATTGACACTGTGTCAGAAATGTAAATGGAGCTGCACATGTACACGTACAGCTCCGTGTACATTTTGCAGAAGATTGTAGCAGGTGACATTACATTTCTCTTCTGAAATAAAGAGCCTGCCTGTTCACATTTTTTTTAGGCTTTAGTTCCCCTTTAAAGGACTGATAGGACATGTGGACACCACTTGTACATACCTCAAGAACTCCCCTCCCCCTAACTTTAAACTGAGAGTCAGGGCTAAACTAGAATCTTGTATTTCAGAAGACAAGGTGGTGGTTGCAGTCATGTCTATTAAATTGGGTAAAGCTCCATGTCCACATGACTACATTTTAATTTATTTCAAAAGCTTTTATCAGAATCTAATCCCATATTTCCTAAATGTTTAGAACTTGCTCCTGGACTGTGCTCCTTTTCCTTGAGATAATCTTTCAGCCCATAGCTTGGTAATTCCAAAGGCTGGTAAGAATTTTCTTGTGTGCGGTAATTGGTGCCATATATCCTATAGCCTTACTATGCATTGACCTAAAAATATACTGGCCAGTCACCTTCTCTCTTATTTATCAATGTTAATACATTCTGCCTATATCTTTGGCTCAATGATCATTTTGACAGTTTCACTGATGGTGCCTATGCCATTTATCATAATTTACTCATATGTCCATCATTTACCCATCGTTTACTCATCATAAAGTCTGAATTGTTAAGGTTTATAACAAGCTTACTTTAATCTCAGCACATGAATTGGCCAGGTTAGGGAATGTCAGCGTTGCATAGTATTATGTTTTAAATTATTCATAATAATCCCTCATGATGTTATAGTGGAAGGAGAAACTTTTAGTATAGTATTTTATCACTCTGTTGTAAAACTGAAACATAAACAGTTTTGTAGAGAGCATGTCTTGCTATTACACCGCTGAATATTTACTGGGAAGACCGCAATATGTCATCGCCCTCAAGATTAATTCACATGAGAAAACATAAGAATAACCTTATAAATCACTTGGTAAATGTTTTATCAATTGCACATGGATGGTGTATTGAAATCTGATCCAGTTCTTCTTACATATTTATGGCTTTTAGAGGAAGGTTTAGAAATAAGGAAAGTGCTTTGCAGATATCATGCTTGCCTAATTTCCTATAGTGATGATTCCAAAGAACCTGTTTTTCAGATAAGCAGTGTAAAGCTTTTATTATTGGTATGTGAAGAGAGACTTTTGTCATGATAGATAATCATTGACTTCTAACCCTTCTCCTATTCCGGAGAAACAAACTATTTCCTAAATGCAAGGTAAATTTGCAATCCCATTACTTCTCTGTCACTCCAAATGATAAATTCCCTGGATGAAAAAAATATTATTCAGGTTATCTTCATCCTTTTATGCGTGCTTTTTACTTTGCTTAGTCAACAGAAGAATCTTTTGTTTTGTAATACCTGAAAGAAAGAGTAAACTATTTTCCCATTATGTCTCTAGACAGCTGTTTTAATTATACACTTCAGTTTGTCCAGTGATTTGCTTTGGATTTTACTGTCGCTGGTGATATGTGTCATATATACATACACATATGCATACAAATAATGGCAAAAAAAGACTATTTAAAAAAGTTGTACACATTTGAGCTGGTAATATTCAGGACGGTTTGGGTGTTGCAATCCAGATTGGATTATAAAACAATGCAGTTCATACTTAGGAATCTGTTTATAAAATAATTGCATAGCTATCAGTCCATTGAAACTGCATGTATGTTTGTTTTTGTACAAACTAAGCAGCTGTTGTGAGAATAGGGTAAAAAAACAAATGTTCCTGAGCTAGTTTTTTTTTTTTTTTCTGGTCAAATGTTCCTCAAATATTATGGGCAGTGGTAAAGATAGTTTCCTTCATAACAAACATAGAGTGAATCATGAATATACTATAGTACACTATGGCCACTAGATGAAGCTATGGATCATATAAAAAAAAAATACATCTTAGTAAGTAGAGCTACAAAGTAAAAATTTTAGACAATGTTGGAGGGAATTAAATAGTGATCCAGTCATAGCAATTGTTACATTTATTTGCTAATTCCCTCCAGGATTCTGTAGACTTGATATATTGTATCTCATCTTACTAAGATGTATTTATTTTCTGTGATCCTCAACCATCTTAACTTTTTCACCCTTGTACCTTATGAATGAATCTATCCATTTTACTGCCCATAATATTTGAAGAACATTTGACCAGAAAAGAAATAGAACGTTTGATTTTGCCCCATTCACAACATCTGGTTAGTTCACACAGAACAAATGTAAATGCAGTTTTGAAAGATAAATAGC